ATTTTTTAAAGAATATTTTTCAAGGACCAAAAGTCCACCAAACGGGGATTTTTTAAAGAATATTTTTCAAGGACCAAAAGTCCACCAAACGGGGATTTTTTAAAGAATATTTTTCAAGGACCAAAAGACCAAAAAACGTGGATTTTTAAAGAATATTTTTCAAGGATCCAAAGACCAATAATCGAGAATTTTTTAAAGAATATTTTTCAAGGACCAAAAGTCCACCAAACGGGGATTTTTTAAAGAATATTTTTCAAGGACCAAAAGACCAAAAAACGTGGATTTTTAAAGAATATTTTTCAAGGATCCAAAGACCAATAATCGAGAATTTTTTAAGGAATATTTTTCAAGGAATAAAAGCCCAAGAAACGTTTATTTTTTAAAGAATATTTTTCAAGGAATAAAAGCCCAAGAAACGTGGATTTTTTAAAGAATATTTTTCAAGGAATAAAAGCCCAAGAAACGTGGATTTTTTAAAGAATATTTTTCAAGGATCCAAAGCCTAATATTCGAGTATTTTTTAAAGAATATTTTTCAAGGATCCAAAGCCTAATATTCGAGTATTTTTTAAAGAATATTTTTCAAGGACAAAAAGCCCAAGAAACGTGGATTTTTTAAAGAATATTTTTCAAGAACCAAAATTTCAATATTCGACGATTTTTTAAAGAATATTTTTCAAGGATCCAAAGCCTAATATTCGAGGATTTTTTAAAGAATATTTTTCAAGGACTAAAAGTCCACCAAACGTGGATTTTTTAAAGATACATTTTTTAAGGATCAAAATTCCACCAAACGTGGATTTTTTAAAGAATATTTTTTAAGGACCAAAAGTCCACCAAACTTGGATTTTTCAAAGAATATTTTTCAAGGACCCAAAGTCCGAAAAACGTGGATTCTTTAAAGAATATTTTTCAAGGACCAAAAATCCAAGAAACGTGGATTTTTTAAAGAATATTTTTTAAGGACCAAAAGTCCACCAAACTTGGATTTTTCAAAGAATATTTTTCAAGGACCCAAAGTCCGAAAAACGTGGATTCTTTAAAGAATATTTTTCAAGGACCAAAAATCCAAGAAACGTGGATTTTGTAAAGAACATTTTTTCGAGGACCAAAAGCCCATCAAACGTGGAGTTTTTAAAGAATATTTTTCAAGGATTAAAAGCCCATCAAACGTGGATTTTTTAAAGAATATTTTTCAAGGATTAAAAGCCCATCAAACGTGGATTTTTTAAAGAATAATTTTCAAGGACCCAAAGTTCAAAAAACGTGGATTTTTTAAAGAATATTTTTCAAGGACCCAAAGTTCAAAAAACGTGGATTTTTTAAAGAATATTTTTCAAGGATCCAAAGACCAATATTCGAGGATTTTTTAAAGAATATTTTTCAAGAACCCAAAAGCCCAAGAAACGTGGATTTTTTAAAGAATATTTTTCAAGAACCCAAAAGCCCAAGAAACGTGGATTTTTTAAAGAATATTTTTCAAGAACCCAAAAGCCCAAGAAACGTGGATTTTTTAAAGAATATTTTTCAAGAACCCAAAAGCCAAAGAAACGTGGATTTTTTAAAGAATATTTTTCAAGAACCCAAAAGCCCAAGAAACGTGGATTTTTTAAAGAATATTTTTCAAGAACCCAAAAGCCCAAGAAACGTGGATTTTTTAAAGAATATTTTTCAAGAACCCAAAAGCCCAAGAAACGTGGATTTTTTAAAGAATATTTTTCAAGAACCCAAAAGCCCAAGAAACGTGGATTTTTTAAAGAATATTTTTCAAGAACCCAAAAGCCCAAGAAACGTGGATTTTTTAAAGAATATTTTTCAAGAACCCAAAAGCCCAAGAAACGTGGATTTTTTAAAGAATATTTTTCAAGAACCCAAAAGCCCAAGAAACGTGGATTTTTTAAAGAATATTTTTCAAGAACCCAAAAGCCCAAGAAACGTGGATTTTTTAAAGAATATTTTTCAAGAACCCAAAAGCCCAAGAAACGTGGATTTTTTAAAGAATATTTTTCAAGAACCCAAAAGCCCAAGAAACGTGGATTTTTTAAAGAACATTTTTCAAGAACCCAAAAGCCCAAGAAACGTGGATTTTTTAAAGAATATTTTTCAAGAACCCAAAAGCCCCAGAAACGTGGATTTTTTAAAGAATATTTTTCAAGAACCCAAAAGCCCAAGAAACGTGGATTTTTTAAAGAATATTTTTCAAGAACCCAAAAGCCCAAGAAACGTGGATTTTTTAAAGAATATTTTTCAAGAACCCAAAAGCCCAAGAAACGTGGATTTTTTAAAGAACATTTTTCAAGAACCCAAAAGCCCAAGAAACGTGGATTTTTTAAAGAATATTTTTCAAGAACCCAAAAGCCCAAGAAACGTGGATTTTTTAAAGAATATTTTTCAAGAACCCAAAAGCCCAAGAAACGTGGATTTTTTAAAGAATATTTTTCAAGAACCCAAAAGCCCAAGAAACGTGGATTTTTTAAAGAATATTTTTCAAGAACCCAAAAGCCCAAGAAACGTGGATTTTTTAAAGAATATTTTTCAAGAACCCAAAAGCCCAAGAAACGTGGATTTTTTAAAGAATATTTTTCAAGAACCCAAAAGCCCAAGAAACGTGGATTTTTTAAAGAATATTTTTCAAGAACCCAAAAGCCCAAGAAACGTGGATTTTTTAAAGAATATTTTTCAAGGACCAAAAGTCCACCAAACGTGGATTTTTTAAAGAATATTTTTCAAGGACCAAAAGTCCACCAAACGTGGATTTTTTAAAGAATATTTTTCAAGGACCAAAAGTCCACCAAACGTGGATTTTTTAAAGAATATTTTTCAAGGACCAAAAGTCCACCAAACGTGGATTTTTTAAAGAATATTTTTCAAGGACCAAAAGTCCACCAAACGTGGATTTTCTCAAGAACATTTTTCAAAAACCAAAAGACCAATAAACGTGGATTTTTTAAAAGAATATTTTTCAAGGACCAAAAGTTCAACAAACGTGGATTTTTTAAAAGAATATTTTTCAAGGACCAAAATACCACCAAACGTGGATTTTTTAACAAAATATTTTCCAAGGACCAAAAGTCTACCAAACGTGGATTTTTTAAAAAATATTTTCCAAGGACCAAAAGTCCAAGAAACATGGATTTTTTAAAGAATATTTTTCAAGGACCAAAAGTCCACCAAACGTGGATATTTTAAAAATATTTTTCAAGAACCAAAATTCCATCAAACTTGGATTTTTTAAAGAATATTTTTCAAGGACCCAAAGGCCACCAAACGTGGATTTTTTAAAGAATATTTGTCAAGAGCCCAAAAGTCCACCAAACGTGGATTTTTTAAAGAATACTTTTCAAGGACCAAAAGTCCACCAAACGTGGATATTTTAAAAATTTTTTTCAAGAACCAAAATTCCATCAAACTTGGATTTTTTAAAAAATATTTTTGAAGAACCAAAATTCCACCAAACTTGGATTTTTTAAAAAATATTTTTCAAGGATTAAAAGCCCAAGAAACGTGGATTTTTTAAAGAATATTTTTCAAGGACCAAAAGACCAATAAACGTGGATTTTTTTAAGAATATTTTTCAAGGACCAAAAGCCCAAGAAAGTTGAATTTTTTTAAGAATATTTTTCAAGGACCAAAAGCCCAAGAAATATGGATTTTCTCAAGAACATTTTTCAAAAACCAAAAGACCAATAAACGTGGATTTTTTAAAAGAATATTTTTCAAGGACCAAAAGTTCAACAAACGTGGATTTTTTAAAAAATATTTTTCAAGGATTAAAAGCCCAAGAAACGTGGATTTTTTAAAGAATATTTTTCAAGGACCAAAAGACCAATAAACGTGGATTTTTTTAAGAATATTTTTCAAGGACCAAAAGACCAATAAACGTGGATTTTTTTAAGAATATTTTTCAAGGACCAAAAGACCAATAAACGTGGATTTTTTTAAGAATATTTTTCAAGGACCAAAAGACCAATAAACGTGGATTTTTTTAAGAATATTTTTCAAGGACCAAAAGCCCAAGAAAGTTGAATTTTTTTTAAGAATATTTTTCAAGGACCAAAAGCTCAAGAAACTTGAATTTTTTTAAGAATAGTTTTCAAGGATCAAAACTCCACCAAACGTGGATTTTTTTTTTAAGAATAGTTTTCAAGGACCAAAAGTCCACCAAACGTGATTTTTTAAAGAATATTTTTCAAGGACCAAAAGACCACCAAACGTGATTTTTTTAAAGAATATTTTTCAAGGAATAAAAGCCCAAGAAACATGGATTTTTTAAAGAATACTTTTCAAGGACCAAAAGTCCACCAAACGTGATTTTTTTAAAGAATACTTTTCAAGGACCAAAAGTCCACCAAACGTGATTTTTTTAAAGAATATTTTTCAAGGACCAAAACAACAATAAACGTGGATTTGTTAGAGAAAAAAATTGAATTTTTAAGGAATATTTTCACCCATATAATTGGATTTTTTAAAGAATATTTCTCAAGGACCAATACAACAAAAATCTCGAATTTTTTAAAGGACCAAAAGTCTGTCAAACCTGGATTTTTAAATATTATTTTTTATTATTTTTTAATTTTATTTTCCTTTCAAAGACTACTATGCCACCTATAGAGCTACCATCATCATCATTATCGGCACACATCAAAAAAACCGCACCAAAGCAGAATTCATGAAAAACTTGCCCAGGAAAAATCAATATTTTCATGCCACGAAAAAAAAATATGTAAACAAAATGATGCGATAAAAACACACACAGGCCAAGAAAGCCATGCAGAAAAGAGAAACAACAAGAATTATGGCGATGTAAACAAAATAGCAGAGTATTTGACAATTCAAAAGAATCCTTCTAAAAATAGACAAGCGGTTCTCTCCCTTGCTTCTCGGACTCTCTCTCTAGGTTGGCATTCTCTGTGTGGTGGCTCTGGTGGGATGGTTGCTCGCCGTCGTTTTTCGGTCTTCTCGGGCGAATTTTTCACATTCCGTTTTAGTTTTTCGCAGCTTATCAACGGCAACGGGTGGACCAAAGTGGCAGTGAAAAAAAGTCAGAACGGATTAACGCATTTCGAGACACGCGGCTACGGGAAAAACGGGCAGCAGCACAATAAAAATACTTTTTTTTTTTTTTTTTGTTTCGTATACATCTACACATATACACGCACACACGTAAATTAAATTAAATGTATGTGTATTAACAACTACTAGCCATTCAGTCAACCAGCCAGCCAGTCAGCTAACCAGCCCCAAAGTACCAACCCGCCAGCCATTGAGTGAAAAAATACAAAAACAAGAACAACAAAAGCACCTACGACAACAACGTGTGTGTATGTGCGTGCCCAAAGTGTAACAGTGTGTGTTTGTGTGTGTGTATACAGATATATATATGGCTAGCTGTGAGAGTGTAACAAATCATAGAGGTTGAACGTGGTTTATATATAGAAAATTAACGCACAGCTGAACATCTTTTTATGCTTCGTTTTACAAAAAGTTTTTGTGAAAAAATTTAAGAAAATTATCCGGGAAATTTTCCCTAAAGAAATTCTCAAAAGAAAAGTTTTTATTTTTTAAAAAAAGAAGTGCCAAAAAATCGCTACAAAAATCTCTTTGAAGATCGTGGGGGTGCATGTGAAAGTGAGCTGCACAAAAAAAATTGGATCACATTTTCTCAATTTCCTCTGCGAAACGTGCCCATTTTGCTGATCGTGTCAAAATAAAAAAAATCAAGAAAAGTTGCAAAATTTGAAAAAAAAGAAAGTGTTCCCAAGAAATATTTAAAATTTTGAAGAAAAAATATTCGAAAAATTGCAAATAATTGTCAGTGTTCTCTGTTTTGCGAAAAAAGAAAAATTGATTTGTGCGTGAGTGTGTGTGTGTGAGAAAAGAGGAAAAGCCAGAGCAGCATTACGTTAAGAAAATGCTAGAAAAATGTATTGTTCGTGTGATAAGTTGATGACACATATTTCACTTGTTTTGACCGCATTCCTGCTGTTTTATTTCATCTGCCTGCCACCCAACCTCAATCAAGTGGAAGCCTCGGCCGAGGATGAAGCGTAAGTTGAGACTCAATGTCATGCACTCGGGATCCTGATGCCCGCTATTTTATGTGTGACACCGACACACACACAGAGACACAGTCACTCAGTCACACACCTACATTTGTACTACTTGCCTCTGGGGCGTCACAAAAGCAGCCCACTGGGAGATAATAATATTGTACTCTGTTGCTGGTGTAGTTGTTGTTATTGTTAGTTTTCATTGATGTCATTCAACAGCAACAAAACCAACAAAAAAACATGAAATGGAAAACAACTAGAAAGTCCTTTGAGGACATTATTGTTCGGTTGTTATTGTTGTTGTTTTATCTGGTATTTACATTACCTCCTGAACCTTGTGCGGGTTTCTTTTTGTATTTAATTAAATTTTAGCATTGTTAACAAGATAATAAAAACCCCATCCTCTTCGAAAGGAGGTTGGTATGGGCAGTTAGGGAAATTTGGGTGTGGGAAATAGTTAAGTCCTTTGCCGTTGCATCACTTTTTTTCTGGGAAATATAAAAACTGAATTAATTCTACAAATGGACAGACGAAATGCTTAGGGTCTCTTGAAGTAGAATGGCAAAGAGAGGTCTGCTATAGGTTCAATTTTTGATAGACAGTAGGTTTTGGTAGACTGAAATGTTTTATAAAAATTTTTCAAAAAATATGTTTTATCAGTTTTTAGCAGTTATCCAAGACTTCTATCAAAAGAACCCCTGCTGAAGATATCTTGAGAGAAAGTATGCCTTTTTAAGTTCTCCCATCTCAAAAAAAAATCTTATAGTGTAATATATCCCTCATCTATTGAATTGAAGGCTCGAAATAGTTTATTGTAACCAGAGCACAGATTTGCTTTGTTTTTATACGCAGGTGAAACTTACTCTTCTGCGGGAGTGCTCGAAAAGAAGTAGATTCCGAGCCACGGGAAAACAAGCAAAAAATTCTACCTCGTGTTCAAGTGAATGTAAAGAATGTCTTAAAGTCGGGCGGGGCCGACTTTATGATACCCTACACCACTTTGCTAATTTAGTAGAGCTCCACATAACAATTAAAAGTTTTTATGCACAATTAATTTGAAATCGGATGAAGATATACATGGGAACTATATCCAAATCTGAGCCGATCTCGATAAAATTTGGCAAAAATATTTCTGACCTGTATTTGACATATCTGAATATCGTTGTTGCGGAGTGCATATTACGACTGTGGGAAACAAATATAACAAATGGGATGAAAAATATATATGGGAGCTATAGCTATATCTGAACCGATCTTCAACAAATTTCCCTAAATATTGTTGTTATAGAGTGCATATCACAGCAGCGGAGGGCCAAAAATAACAAATCAGAAGAACAATATATATGGGAGCTATAGCTATATCTGAACCGATTTCGATCAAATTTGGTATACTTATTTGCAGGCCTAATTCGGATGTATGTGCAAAATTCCATACTATTCGGGCTGATATTACACGTTTGGTGCACAATAAAAGGCAAATAAGACGAAGATATATATGGGAGCTACATCTAAATTTTTACCGATTATCTCCAATTTCAATAGGGTTCGTCCTTGGGGCAAACAAATGATTTGTGCAAAATTTTATCTGGATAGGGCGTTAAATGCAATCTTTACTTTGTTTACAAAAATACATGGACAGACGGACGGACGGACAGACGGACGGAATGTGATTCTATGCAGATCATCAAAAGGAACTATGGGTCTATCTCGTTTCCTTTTGCCTGTTACAAACAAATGCACAAAGACATAATACCCTGACCACTTTGTGGTGTAGGGTATAAAAATGCAAGTGGCCGAATGTCTTCAAACTGCACACATCGCAATATTTTTACTAACCCAATGTCTGGTGCGAAGATGGAATATATCGGTCCACTCCATCAAGTACCTTCCCCACAAAGGGTTAAAATTCAGACTCCATTCAGACATCTCAATATTTCTATCAACCCAAGATTTGTTATAAAGTTGGTAGAGATCGTACCCTGGTACCTCCCCCATAAAGGGTCAACATTTTGAATAACCAAACGATTATAAAATCCAAAATAAGCATCCAATTCTTACATCCCATTACTAACACAAGTTCTGCTGTAAAGATGAAATGTGTCGGTCAACTCTTTTTGGTACATCCCCACCGAAAGGGTCAAAGTTTTAAATACCCATGAAGCTCATAAAACGCGAAATTAAAATCCGATTCCATTCGTAATTGGTACATCTCAATATTTCCATAAACGGAAGGTCTGTTATAAATATGGTACAGATCTGATCATTTCTTCTGGTACCTCCCCCACATAGGGTCCAAGATTCTTGAAAAACAAAACGCTCATAGAAAGCAGTGGGCCAATATTTTCCATGTTCCCTTCTGACCTAAGTCTGATATAAACATTGCCATGGGCCAAGTGGACCATATCGGATGTATGATTATTTTCCTGATTATATGATTATTTTTTTCAATATAGGCAAAAATATTGAAATGTAAAAAATTTAAGAAAATCGGACATTTATTTCTTTCATTAATGCAGTTTTTATTAATCAAAATTTTACATACATACTTCGGGCAGTCCCCTCTCTCACTATGAAAATTTTATGATTTGTTTTTGCAAAATTTCGTACCCTTTATGGGGGAGGTAGTAGAACTAGATCTATGTATGGTAATAATATTACCATGTATCAAGTATGGACAAACTCGCATTCTCCATTCGAAAGTTATCTTTCGCACAGACAGACTGACGACGGACATGGCTAGAAAGTCCCCAGTCGACGGATTTCACCCAAAGAGACATAGGCTCCAAAACCGTCCTTTCAATGGAGCTCTAACGCTCAAGGTTTAAAGTGACTTTGAAGATTAAAATATCTGGTACCTTTGACGTTGCACAATTTATTTGTGGAAAGGTTTTGACCAGATTGAAGCCCTCTCCGCCTGGTCATACATCCTTTTCATTGCCTCCTTTCGTGGTAACTATCTGCAGAAGATCCTGAAAACCACTGGAAGAGTTGGAACTTCATATATTCATAATGAGAAGTAAGAAAGGCTGATTTTAGTTACCCAAAAGATCGCCATTGAACACATTCTACCCATCGAAGGACATTTGGAGGCTGTTTTATACCAAACAATCCTTATGGATATTTCCACTGTAGATAAAGGTTTTCTAACTCAACATTGAGTTAGTAGTACTGTTTCTGGTTTCCATAGATAAAAAATCATCCAGACGTCCCCTTAAAACGTCTTCCATTTATAAGGGACAATGTAGTCTTTACTTGAAATGCCTTCAATATCGAAAATATATAAAAAGGGATCTTCAGGAAATCATCTGAATATTGAAGTTTTCGACCCTTAATTTAAATAATACCTTCGTAGGCTTTCTTCAAACGCTTTCTATTTCAAAAGCCCCTCGAAACCGTTATGTATTGCCTTATAGAAGGCGAAGTTTTTTTCAAAGACCTCCGTGAAAATTCTATATATAGAGGGCCTCAGGTAGGTGTATTCCAATACAGATCTTTTGTATATAGAGAAGGTGTCTTCAATGAAAGCCCAGAGATCCATCCTAAATTCCATAATTTTAAAATTTTTGCAACCAAACTTAAAACATATGAGACATACCTTCGGAACTTTTCTTTTGATGCAAACTTTGTACATTTTCATCTCACTAAGGTTCGGTGTAAATTTGGACTATCATCTCATGTGGTATCATTTAAATCTTAGAATGCTTAAAATGAACCTTTGCGGTTCAGTCCACAGTTTGACTTGAAGGAACTAAAACTAAAACAAGTAAAAAACATTACTTATCCACCTTATCCTAAGGAAACACTATAACCAATTATGACCCACAAATACCAATTTTTAGACTTATTCGAGGGAAAATGTGGCGAAAATCATCAAAATACCGAATATCGGGAGGTACCGCTATATAGGGCTATACAAAAGCGTGGATCTGTACATACAATATTTCGCCAATGGAGCTAGAACTCATGACCAACAAATTCCAAATCCGTGATAAAATGTGACAAAAACCACCAAAATACCGAATTTCGGAAGCGTGGATCTATACATGCGAAGTTTCGCCACCGTAGCTAGAAACCATTATGACCCACAAATACCAATGTTCAGACAAATCCGTGAAAAAGTGTGGCAAAAATTATCAAAATACCGAATATCGGGATGTACCGTTATATGGGGACTATACCAAAACGTGGACCGATATATCTCATTTTCAATACCAACCATCCTAGAAGCAATAAAAATTATTTAGCTAAATTTGCTTATGATGAATATATATACCTTCTGGGGTCTACCTTTCCAAGGTGGAGGGTATAAAAAATGCGTTTTATTGATTTGGGCTACATTTTATAAACCAAATTGGTCAGGATTATATGATAGATCAAATTTGTATCTTTTATGGACTATCTGGGTTTCTTTGGTATTATCCTTTTCGTACACGTGGAGATTTCAAGCTTATTTCTATTCTCCACTTTTTAGCGAAAGCCTCCAAAATCTCCAAAATGAAAGGCTGTCATTATGTGGGGGAAGATCTTTCAGGTTTATATAACACTGTGCAGCAAAGTTGAAATCATGTTGAAACTCATGTCTGCGAGGGAGGAAAAAATTGTGAATAATGACATGTTATGCATTAGTGATCGGTTTTCACAATTGAATACCCGATTAAAAAATTTTGACTAGTCCTTCAATAGTTATATAATTGCCATAGATATCGTTATTACGTATATCTTATAGTATAAAGGTTTTCGGGAATGCTCGTAAGTAAGGTTTTCGACAATGATCGGTAAAAAGAAAAAAAGGACAATAAAGACATGACAGCACCGTATTCTTACAGCAAAGGACCCTATCAAAAATCTTCAGAGCGAAGAATTTGTAGAATTTCAAAAAATTTCATTCAAAAGTGTCATTATTGGAGGGGCGTGGGAATGTGAAAATGGACAAAAAATATCCGATAAGTAACTATATCAGGGGGGTTCCCGGCCCCCTAACCCCCATCCCGCGTACG